GCAATCTCAACTTTTGGCTTCCTTTGTCACCTACAATGGTGCATTCCCAACACTGTGCTGTGATCTCTCCCTAGCAACCGGAGGTTCATCAGTAATAAATCCTTAGGTTTAGAGGTTAGGAAATATAATTACTACGCAAAAACTTGGACAGCTCTCCCTCTAGTGGTCATTTAATGAATTGCCCCCAACAATTGCCCTGTTGACTCAAACAGAAGAAAGAGCTGGTGGTAAAAGTGAATGACATTTAGTTGACATAGTTAAAACATCTGGTTTTACTAATGAATTTGTTAATCACAGCCACATAATAAACTACTATGGGGCACATCTCAGGCAAAGAACTTAAATGGAAAGAAACGTCATTACAGTATCTGGAGCTTTAATATTTTCTCGTGTGTTAATTAGCCATTTTACCTAACAGGATTTTCAATTTGGACCAAAGTTGCGGAATCAGCAATTCTATACATAGCTTTATATCCTATCCCCCAATAAGAAATTGTGATGATCATAGCCATGAGACTCTAATTTTACTTCACACAATATTCTTTTTTCCCTAAAATAATAATATAATTATTGTTGATAATAATCTCTTCTTATGGGAATCTATAAACTGTAAGGCTTTGTTCTTACGGCAGATAGGTATGGCCGGACTTTCTCCCTGGTTGTCTTGAAGAGAAAGTGGGAGGCTTATCTATAAAGAGACTAAATGGGTTTGCATTGGTCACCCATGGCACTTTGCAGGGGACTGCACTACTTTTTACCCCTAGGTATCTCCTGCTAGCAAAATAAATTGCATGGATGCTGGCATGTCCCTTTATATTCTTCTTTTTTGAATCTTGATGTCAAACTCCCTAAGCATATACTTGTTTTGCAAATAGGAATGAAAATGATTAAAATAGAGATGTGGGTTTTAAAGAAGTGGCTTCCTTCACTCCATTATAATTGTTTTGGAGAGCTCAGATATTAAAGCATTTCTGCCACCAAGTCTAAACCAAAAGTAATACCTTTGTGAGCTTTATAGAAATCTAAACCAAGGGAGTAGAGATGAGAATCTTCAAAACCACAATTTTTCTTTAAATACTTGAATAGCCATTCATAAGACTTAAGAGTGAACAGAGAAAGGATAATGTAGAAATAGGAGGTATTTTCAAATGGAGGGACAGAAATATTTACAACTATACTGAGTGTTTGTGAAGCAGAGGGCAGGCAGACATGAATTCACTTAAACTTTCAATGGGTTTGCTCTGTAGCCAGCTTCGGTCCAACTGCAGAATTTCGCTATTTGGTGGGAAAAATGTCTCCCTTATTGCAGTGCCTCCATTCACACTTGTGCCTGGTCAGTGAGACCCAGTTATAAAACCACCTGTGGGAGAAGCCAGTCTATCTGGAAACTCTTTTCTCCGGAGCCCTGTGGGGAGCTTGCTTATACAGATGCCACTGGAGTTATGACCAGAATAGGGCTGGTTAGCTCCATCAATTGGAGGCCTGTGCTGATAAGGTTGGCACCCTCTGTGGGTTACTCAGTTCCACTATGTCCCCAACTTGGCTGTAGCCTGCAATGTTGTCAGTTGCATCACAGATCTACTCATTCAGTTATTTGCCAAATAATGTATGGAGAGTCAGCAGGCAAGAGGCTGTGAATATATGGCATGTTATTGCAACGTCCTCATGACAGAAATGTCACTTGTGTTCATAACTTTTGATAGCACTTGTTGAATTCAGTTGTATGTGAACTTTTACCTCTTCTTGTCTTTTTGTGACCCTCTGACACCTCTTGTTCTTTTCTCTTAACCTCAAGATGTTCAACACCTTCATGCTGGCTTGTCACCTGTCTTTTCAGGCCTCTTACCTCATTCTATACTTCTTAGTTGCTTCACTGGTCCCAAGTCTAAAAATAAACATGCTATATCCTATTCTATTCCCTCTTAATACACTCTTGGATTGCTAAGTATAGCAAGCAATCCAATAAAAATAAACCATACCACCTTGTTGGAATCTAGCAGTGGTCAAATATTCTTTAGATGACAGGCTACAATGCCTAAGCTTTTGGGAATGGATTTCTAATGGTAAAAGTTTCATGTAGGAAAATATTTGGTGTCAGGTGGGCCTTCGTGGATTCTTGGTATCATGCCTTTGGGCTATTTTATGGGAAAAGTCTCTCATGTTTGTTGAAATACCTTATATCGTAACCTTGTACTATAAATACTAAGGGAAAAGAATAAAGGGGATAATGTTTATAAATTATTTTTCCCATTATTGCATTTCTGTTCTCTGACTACCTTATAACTTACTAAATATTCCCTCTCTGATACCTGAAGCAAGGGACAGAAGAAAAGGGACCATAAATCTATTAAGTCCATTAAGTTCTCAAATGGCACTTAGAAGGAAATGAATTCTCAGTGTATGATAAAGCTAATTGTAATGGCAATTAAATGTCCTAAACTGCCATTGAGCATGCTGGTTGTGACTCAGGGACAGATATTTTGATTATCTTCAGTACCAACCATGTCCCATCACTAATGGACCAAACTAGATTGTTAACTTTGTAAAGGTGTAGATTATGCAACAGATCATTTAGAGGAGGCAACTAAACTGATTTAGGGAGCAAATGGGACAAAATGTTCTAAAAATTTATTTCTATCAAGTAGGTAATGATAGAGTTTCAGGCTATTTTGCCAAGTCAAATTTGTTAATTTAGAAACACTTGCTGTGTGTCTTCGGGTTAGAGGAAAACAAAAACTGAAATATTAAAGGACTTTTTTTTATTATCCCCATGTTTTCTTTGTTTCTATTAATCAACCTTTAAAATAAACCTATGAGAAAATATATATTTTCTAACAAGTGTTTATATCGTTACATCTCGGTTGTGTTAATGTACGAGAACAGTATCACAGGCAATACATAAATGGTAATAATATAAAACCCATTTAAAGATGATAAAATAATAAATATTAAAATTGCATTTAATCCAGAGATATATCACTAATAATTTACTATGACCCAGAAAGTTGGACTAATGCAAATTTTCCTCCGCCCCATTGTTGACAGTTATGAAGAGTGACAATAACAAGTAAATAAGCAAGGAGAGAATAAAAAAAGACCCCCAAGGGATAACCAGTGATCAGTACACATTTAATCCAATCCACTCTACCTTCTTGGCTTTAAAGTGCAAAACGGTCATCAAAATCAATAGGGATGAATCTGGTACCCCCCAATCCTTATAGAAAATTCAAATGCCTGGCTCATGCCTGTAATGCTAACACTCTGGGAGGCTAATTCAGGAGGATCACTTGAGCCCAGGAGTTTGAAGTTGCTATGAGCTATGATGATGCCACTGCACTCTAGCCCAAGGTGACAGAGCAAAACTCTGTCTCAAAAAAAAAAAAAAAAATCCAAATGCCTTTCAGTATAAAGTGAGTTAATTATTTATTTCTAATGGATGCCTCACATACTATATAAGAGGAATTGAGGCAGTTTATAATAAAAGCCCATATGCAGCATGGCAGTGAAAAATAATGTCAGAGAGATCAGAAACCATAGAGTTCAAAAACTTTTGTGGGCGCTAGACCTTTGAAGATCTGATAAGGAGCTGTGGAAAATCTCCCCAGAAAAGCATACCTATGAAAATAGGCACATTATTTTGCCAACAATCTTGAAGTCTATGCAGGCACCCTCCTCCTGTGTTTCCTTGAACCCCAGTTCAAGAACTCCTCCTATAGAGAAAGTGAAATCCTGAGGTAAGATAGTCATTACACTTCAGCATTGCACTTACCTCTGAGCTTCCTGACAACTGAGGTTAAAAGATTACACATACTGGGTTACAGAGTTTTTGACATCTAAAAAAGGAAGTGGATTCATTCAGAAAATTATAAGCAAAACATACAATTTTAAAATTGCAGTGTTCATACATTTTATGAAATGATTATTTTATAAATGGTAATCAAGTCAATAAAGGGATGTAGCATAATGTGATGAAATTCTTTGAAAAGAAGCAATTGGAGATAAAATATCCATGCTAATTATATTGAGTAGCATATGAAATTAGCCAAAGCACCTCACCTCTAACCCTTCTGGAAAAGAAGGAATTTACTCCATATGTGTTTCTTTAATGGTAGATTTACTCACCTTATGTTATTTGACTAAAGCTGACATTAATATAATATATTCCCATGAGCACACACCAGCTAAGCAGTAAGTGAAGCCTAAGGGTATAGAGAGAAATTGACTCGTGATTAAATATCTGCTATTAATAGGACATACCACGGAAAAGTGTCATGTATATAATAGCAGATAATCACTTTAGGTGCCACTGCTTTCAACCTCGATATTTACTTTCTCAAAAGCAAATAAATAACACAGTGATTGTTGTCACAATTCTAGGCACAGGCAGTATAGGGTAGGGGTGAAGAACACGATATTTGGAATCAAAGACTGGTTCCCCCCCCCCCTTATTAGCTGTGTGACCTTGGGCAAAGTTATTTAACTTCTCTGCATCTCAGTGTCTTCATCTGGAAAATAAGAATAAAAGCATTAGTCTCAGGGCTGCTCTTAAATTGTGCAGAGGTCTCTTGGGAATATTTGTTTCGTGGGGCCTCCCGTATAAACAATACAAGTCACCTAAAACCAACGTGTCAGTGTCATTCTAGCAGTCCAATTTCACATGATTATGTGATGGAAATGCTGCTCGGCTAGCAGAAGCAAACTACTTGTGAGGCCACTCTGTTGGGATTGGGACCTGGCCACGGTGTCCCAGGATAACCCTATAAGCATGTGTGCTGGAACTCCTTGGAGCATCTGGTCTACCCCAAGCAGAGGGTTGCTGCAGACGATTGGAAAACACTTTGAAGGCAAGGGCTAGAGCAGATGTTCTGCTTGCTAAGATCTAAGCAATATATTAATCTATCTCATGGGGTCACTGGGAAGACTGAATGAAATAATCTGTGTAAAGCACTTCACCCAGTGCATATTGGCAATGATTACTGCTCTTACCGTTATTATCAATAATGCTCACTGCATGTCATGCCTCTTCTGATTTTCTTTCAGTGGATGGCTGCATTGACTGGTCAGTGGATCTCAAGACATACATGGCTTTGGTGGGTGAACCAGTCCGAGTGAAATGTGCCCTTTTCTACAGTTATATTCGCACCAACTATAGCATGGCCCAGAGCACTGGGCTCAGGCTTATGTGGTACAAAAACAAAGGTGATTTGGAAGAGCCCATCATCTTTTCGGAGGTCAGGATGAGCAAAGAGGAAGATTCAATATGGTTTCACTCAGCTGAAGCACAAGACAGTGGATTCTACACTTGTGTTTTAAGGTGAGTGTTGTGCGAAAATATTGTTCAATTGCAAGGCTGACTCCTTTGATTGGGTCTGGAGTGTGTGCAGGTGTGTCTCACATTACAGTGGATGTGTTCTTGAAAGATCGTAGTGCATGTGGAGTTTCGGTAAATTCAATTCTAATTCTCAACTGGAACTACATAGCAAATTTTCATCAGATTTTCATAAAATAGGACTCTCATTTACTGTGTGTGCTTGTTTAATTTAAAAAATTTTGTGACTCATTTCTTCCCTAATCCCACCTCTCCTCCAGGGTCTTATATTAGCAGTTATTTTTACATACAGCCAGTTGGCTGAATGATCTTGATATCTGGCCATCAAAATGACCTAAAGTATCATTTAGGCCAAGGTCTCACCTTCCTTGTTGATGGAAAATAGCTTCAAATGCTGCTGGGAGATATCTCAGCAAATGTGATACTGGTGATATCTCCTGTAGATTTTGCACCGTATGTTCGAATCCACTGTGTCTAAATATTGAACATGGAGCTCTGTAAATATAGTCATCCTGATTTTCAGGGTACTATACTGGAGAGATATCACAGATACAGTCCATGCTTGCAAGAAGTTTATACTGAAAAGAAAGCTGGTTTCTTTTTTTTTAGGGATTCTATAATATGTTCTCCCTTCCCCCTCCACCTCAGTGCTAGGATCATCCAGCATCACAGATAGAGAGTGGATTGGGTATTGAAGCAGGTAGCTGAGATGACCTTTAAGCCACCTTTCAATTTTGCCATTTTGGGAATCTTTGATCTTGCTCACCAGGGACCTGCACTCTCCTATTTGATTTTAACTTCTTGGAAATGCAGACCTTCCCTATTTTTGTATCCTGTAGACTTTGATGCCAAAGCTATGTCACTTCTTCATCAAAAGCACTTGGAAGCCCCTGGCGAGGCCTCATTGTTGAAAAGGCCAGGAAAACAAGGTGGTGTATAAATAAAGAGCCTTCTAGGCATTCGAAGAATCAATTTTGTGATTTGGGGTTGGGGGAGGTTGGGGGAACAAATGATGAGTTTAGTCTCTGTTTGTGGTGGGCAGAATCCCCAGGATCTTGGCAGAATAGCAATCATTCTGATCACACCCTTAGTGATAAGCGATATTTTCTCCTACCTGGGCAGCTCTTGGCAAAATTGAGAAGTAGGTGTAATTCAGCTTTAGTGACTGACACTATATTCTCTAGGGTGCTGCTACTCTTTCCCTGCTTGCGCTCTCTCCATCCTCTATCCTCATTAAAACCTACCATCTGAAAATATCTCTTTTCCTCCCCCTTCCCCTATTCACTTTTTGTTGTTTTCATAGATTTAAAGTTTTATGTGTAAAGCATCAGTGCACTGGATGCAGGTGATAAGCTTATGATGAATTATTGAACTAATTATTGCTACGTACCCTGTCCTACTTATATCCTCAGTCTTGTTAAGTCTTTTGTTTTCCCTTCTCCCCTTTAACTTCGTTCCCCTGTTCCTAGCAATGTTAACAACTTTATCCTTACATACATTTTCCCTACTTTTTAAATTATACAAACATGTTTACATGGAGATTTTCCCCTCATTGCTTAACAAAATTGAAGGGTTACAGAGATCTCTGCATTTTCTTAGTAGAAATATATAATGCAAATCACTCTAAATCAATTGCTAGAGAACTCATTCATTATTTTAAGTGTATAATTTTCTGAATTGCTTAATATTCTGTGATACTACAATTTAATCAGTTATTTTCCTATTGAGGAGCATATATTTTGTTTCCGGTTTTTTGACCCTACAATAAGTGTTGTGATGAAAATCCACTATTCGCTTTGAAATAAAATTTAAAAGTTTAGAATAGTTTTAGAATTACAGAATTGTTAATGTTGTAAAGATAATATAGAGAGTTCCTGTAATATACTATACTCAGTTTTCCCTTTTTGTTAACATTTTACATGACTGTGGTACATTTGTTACAATTAATCAACCAACAGTGGTATATTATTATTAACTAAAGTCCATACTGTTTTCAGATTTCCTCAAAGCCTTTATTCTATTTCAGGATCCTATCTCTGATACCACATTACATTTATTTGTCATGCCCCCTTAAGCTTTTCTTGGCTGTGGCAGTTCTTCAGACTTTCCCTGTTTTCGATGACCTTGACAATTTGAGGTATACTGGTCAGATATTTTGTAAAATGTCCCTCAACTGGGATTTATCTAATATTTTTCTCATGGTTAGGCTGGGATAATATGTTTTTGGGAGGCAGGCCACAAAGGAATAATATGATTCTCATCATATTGTATCAAGGGCATAAAATATCAATATGACTCATCGCTGTTGATGTTGACCTTGATCATGTGGGTTGAGGTAGTATTTGTCTTTCTCCACTATAAAGTTACTCTTTTTTTCTCCCTTTTCATACTGTAGTATTTGGAAGAAAGTCATTATTCACATTCCACACTTCAGATGGGGAAATTGTTCTCCCCCTCCTTAAGGGTGGACTATCTCCATCAATTATTAGGAATTCTTCTGCATGAGAGATTTGTATCTTCTCCTCCATTTATTTATTTATTCAATCATTTATTTATATCAGTATGCACTCACGGATATTTATATTATACATTGAGCTATAATGCAATACTACTTTCTTTTCTTGCTCAAATTCTTTTACCTTTGGCCATTAGAAGCTCTTTCAGTTGTCTCATTTGTCTGTTTGATATAACCCCATCATTGTGGGTTTTCATTTTTTAATTGTTTCCTTATACTGTGGAAAAGTAATTTAGGCTTATCTTGTATATTTCCTGCCTCAATTCTAGAATCAACCATTTTTCCAAAGAGCCCTGATATTCTTAAATGGAGAATGATATCAGAAACCAAGGTTTTGTTGCTAGGTGTGTTCATTGCTATTGAGGTATTGTTGCTTCTAGGTCCTCTCAACTGACAGTCTATTCACTTTTAAACAAAGCCCTTACACTATTTAATGCCCAAGTCCACAGATTGTTAAGGAGTACTTTAGGGATAGTAGAACTTTCCCATGTCCCTGATGTCCTTTCTTATAGGTGTCCCACTCTTTCAAGCATTAATACATATCAGATTGACTTTTTTTATGCCCTTACTGGATACTATCTGAGTCAGTGGTTCTCAACTCACATGTAAATTAGTAGAAGAGAAATAGATGGGATGCCACTAAGCAGAGGCCTAGATTCAAGCATAACTGGTGACTTATTTATGGGACAGGTGTTAGGGAGCGATTGGGACTAATGGGGTGGATGGAACTTTCGCATATTACCCCTCGTGTGTACTTCGGTAAGGAAAAAAAAAGTTTGGAAACCACTATTCCATTTTTTTTTTTTTTTTTTTTTGAGACAGAGTCTCACTGTGTTGCCCGGGCTAGAGTGCCATGGCGTCAGCTTAGCTCACAGCAACCTCAAACTCCTGGGCTCAAGCGAGAAACCACTATTCTAAATGAATCAAGCAGCCTTTTGTCAGCTCAAAGATACATAAATCTATTCCAGAAATTCATAAGTGAAAATAGCCAGCATTTGGTTGTGAATAATGAGCCTGTTTTTCAGATTTCGTAGTGGCCACTGACTTCTAATTTATTCCAATTGAGAAATTTAATCCATATAAGTTATTTTGTGCAATTGATAGGACAGCAACATTCATAATAAATAAGTCTCTTAATTTGACAATGTCAGTTTTCGTCTAAAATCCTGTTTGCTACCACTTAAAGATAATTATGAATGATTTCTCTATGCTTTATTGGCCTTATTAAAAGTTCCTATTACATATTGATTCCATTGTGCTTTAAAATGCAGATATCAACTATTTAGTAATAGTTTCCACCCATTTGTATCATAGCAAAAAAAGTTTACTGTTTATGACCTTTCAGTAGCCAATCACTCATTTTTAAATTTGTCTTTGACCAGTCTCAAGTGATTAGTTGAATTTCTCAGCATTTTAATGGGTTGGTAATAGAAGAATGGCAGAGAACTGAGTCATATTTTGAGAGGCAGTGCTAGTCTGAGAATCAACCCAATTTTATCAATGGAGGCATGATTTAATAGGATAAAAATGATAAGAGTATTTGAAATAAATGAGGTTCTCAAAATATGAATGCCTCATAAACTATTTCTAAAGAGTTTCATAGTGTATTTATCCAGTCCAGAGGCATGATATTTACTTTGATTTTTCAAATGTGAATAATCAGTTCAGTTTTTAATAAACATTACTCAAGCAAAAGAATATCACTGGAGAAGTTGAGAGGGGTGGATATATTTTTCGAAGAAATGTAGCATGTTGCTAATTTTTGAGTCTATATGATGGGTACATGAGAGTTTATTATATTCTTTTTATTTTGGACTATGTCTGAAATATTCCATAATAAAAAACAAAAAGAACAAACAAATATAAGTGTACAGTAACTTTGCCTGATTTTAATGGCCCTTAGATGATACTGCCTATGTAATATATACAAGCAAGTTTTTATATTTCAATCAACAAACATTCATTGAATGTGTATCATAGGATTCACTTTATGCCATGTTGTAATGAGACATGTGACTTTAGAAAGGAAAGTGATTGTCCTAGTCTACCTCAGACACTAAGGAACAGCTCTTACCAACCTTCTACGCTCCCTCCCTACTCCCCACCGTAGTTACCAATAGATTTTCAAGGACAGTGAACATTTCTCATAATTCAATTCCAACTTAACTATTGATCCTCGAAAAGGTAAGTGTCCACAAGTTGGTTGCCTGGATAGCAATTTCCAGGAGAGCAGATAGTTTCTTGTCAGAAAAATGAAAGCCTGCATCTTATAGAATTAATTGACCTCAGAAAAGATGAAGATAGGACGGCAGGGCCTTGAGACAGCGGCAATGCCTTCTCTGGCCTGTGTAGGCTAAAATGAAATGCAATTAGTTATTTTTTTTCTACCTATTTTTGCTTAAAAGTAGAAGAGCCTGATTTCATTGTCTTTTATAGTAATTATACATAGAAGAACACATATCTAACCTGA